AAAAAAATTATTTTATTGAAAATATTTTTTCTTATACTCAGCGTTCATATAAAATCGTATATATTCAAGAACTAGTGAGCCATAGATTTGCAGAAGTGTCTAAACAAGACGGATATAAGACGCTTAATAACATTGGTTGAAATGCTCCAATCATAAAAATTTAAGAAGCGTCAGTGTCTAAAATCGGTTATCCGTTGACACTTCAGGTGTCTTAACAAGACGTTTAGCCACCAATCAGAAACTTCTTGAAGTGTCTTAATCAGACGAATGAAATGTCTTGTTAATACATGTGAAGTGTCTTGATTTTTTAGAGTGTATAAAATAAAACGAAACACAAACTGATAAAAATTCGTCCTTCCAGTAAATAAAAAAAATTCTTCCGAAATAATTGTAGCTATACATCAATCGATGTAGAATTAAATTCTCTACAAGATGATTGTGCTGATATTGATGACACGGTTCGATGATTCTCCTTCCTTCTCTGTCTGTTCTCTTGCCGTTGTTCTAATATATATCTCTCCTATATATATGCGTTTTATGTATGAAGTTGTTACACTCTGGATATTTGAAGAAGCGAATAAACATCATTGCCGAGAGTGGTGGTAAGCTACTCCACCTCTATTCAGTTTGTCATTACGTATCAATCCAGTCAGGACCTTATATTGATCGTTACAATGATGTACAGCGTATCTTCGGCCAATGTATCGTTTCTTCAAAAATTAATTTTTTTTCAAAAATTTTTTCAATTTTTTTATGAGAAATGTCATAATTAACAGGGTATCATCCCGATGCAAATGGAATCTGGATTTGAGCTATACATCATTCGATGCAGAATTGAATTCTCTACCAGATGATGTATAGCTTATCTTCAGGCAATGGATGGTATCCTCAGTAATTAAGCTTTTTTTTAATTTTTTTTATGAATCATGTCATAAATCAAGGGATATCATCCCGACGCAAATGAAATCTTTATATAAGCTATGCATCGACCGATCCAGAATTAAATTCTCTACGAAAAGATGCATAGCTTATCCTCGGGAAATGGATGGTGCCCTCAGGAATTAAATTTTTTTGAATTTTTTTATGACTAATCTCACAATTGAGAGAATAAGACCGGGATAGAAATGAAACCTTGACACAAGCTAGACATCAATCGACACAGAATCCAATTCTCTACAAGATGATGTATTCAGTAGAGAGAGAATCGATTTCGTACAGGCCCCGAGTCGAAAAAAATGATCGGACTCACATCTCTCATATGGTCAGTTCACATATTGAGACCGATTCTGATGAACTCAATTTCCATTGCCAAGAGAGAATGAATACATCATTCGACAGAGAATTAAATTCTCTACCGAATGGTATATTCATTCTCCCGTTGCAATGGAAACTCAATCCACAGGAGCGGATCTCAATGTCGAAAAGCCTCCCTGAAAATAGTGACGGAGATCTTTTTTCCTTTTTGAAGGACGCCTCAAAATGCATTCTCTTTGTGATGAATACACCATCTCGTAGAGAATTCAATTGTCTACCGAATGGCATATGCATCCTCTCGTTGCAATGGAAACTCTATACACAGGAGCGGATCCGAGTTTCGAAAACCCTCCCTAAAAACTTTGAGGGAGAGCTTTTTTTCCTTCTTAAGCCCCTCCGAAAATCGATTCTCGCTATGATGAATATATCATCTTGTAGAGAATTCAATTCTCTATCGAATTGTGTATTCATTGTCCCGTTGCAATGGAAACTCAATCCACAGGAGCGGATCTCAATGTCGAAAAGCCTCCCTGAAAATAGTGACGGAGATCTTTTTTCATTTTTGAAGCCCGCCTCAAAATGGATTCTCTTTGTGATGAATACACCATCTTGTAGAGAATTCAATCCTCTATCGAATGGTGTATTCATTCTCCCGTTGCAATGAAGAATGATTTTAGGCGGAGTGATTTGAATAGCGGAACGCGGCAAAATATCATGTTGGGGGGGGGGGTGGCGATTATGGATGAATAGTTCGTATGGGAATATGATTTTTATGGATTTTGAGGTAGTGTTTATGGGGTTGCTATGGAAAGTTGTGTGGGTTTTTTATGCATTGGGAATGGTAAAATATGGACTATTGGTGAGTGGGGACATTGATTTTGGTTGGTCGTCGTAGTAGCTTCACATCGATAAAAACTCACACTCACACCCCACACTCACACCAACACTCACATCCTCAAGGTTACTTCAATAAAGTAGTACGTCTGAATTACATTATGCTATCTTGAATGGAATTGCAAATTCATCTATCAACCATTTATTTTCTCCGCATGATTATCAACGGAATGAATACACATGTAATAAGATCATAAGCAATGAAACAAGCACAATAAAAGACGACTAAAATCAGCTCAATATGTAAGTTACTTATGGGATCAATTCTCGTTTGAAACTTAAATTAATATATTTTGTAACAGTTTATTCAAGTATAAATGTAAAAAAAAACGAATAATAACAAGAGAGTTGTTTTCACATGTTTTGTTATTTTGTATAGAAAAATAGTTTCTATGATTATAGAACGAAAAAATCACTAAAGAATAAATCACAGGTTAGATACTATCTGAATATAGCATTATAGTAGGTTATGATATATATAGTACAAGCAAAGGAACAAAAACAAATAGTATAACTAAATATTATTCAGTTTTTCTCTATGATCACTATTTAATAGCCAAAAATTTCTAGCTGCTGTTACATATTGTCGTACTTGATAATCATTGAATTTTTCATCGAATACAACACGAGTTATTGTATTATAAAATTGATTTGATATTGTTGGAAAATTCTTTATTGGACTTTTTTCGCAATTTATTTGTGTATTTTTTTAAAAGTAAAAGTGATTTACTAAGACCATCATGTCGTTCATGAGCTTTCTTTGATTGAAGTAAACGATTTAATAAATTTAATGTATCCGTTGGTATATTACAACTAACGAAATGTATATCCATTAATAATTGATCACATTGAGCATCATTTGAAAAGATCTAATAAAATATTGTGTTTAAGAGGATTTAGAAAGTTTTTGAATATTTACTTTTCCACAATTTTTAGCTATCAATGTTGTCCATTCATCCAATGATACTTCAGGAAATTTTTGAGAATTTCCAAATATAAATTGAAGAGCTTGAATAAATTTCGGAAGTAAAATTTCCGATGAAAGTTGTTTATCAACAAGATATCCACGTAATTGTCGTATGATAAGTACATTCATTGATGCATCATCAGATTCCAAATGACGAAACAATTCACAATGTACATTAGAAGTATTGATTTTATTATTATTTTTTGGAATAGCAGAAGCTAAAATAATTTTTTAAAAACAGCTATATACTTCAAATTAAATTTTCAAAATAGTTCAATGATAAAAGAGACGATTTGTACATGAATTAAAGAACAAAAAAAAATTGTAGCTTTCCAGAGTTTTCTTTAAAAGATCGCTTGACGTGTTATTTGATCTATTGACTATTTTACAGAATGCATTAATCTATGGTGCAAAACGTTTTGACACAAAAATGTAGCTTTTTAGCTCCTAACAAGAATAAATATTAGGTACGTATTCAAGACCAAATCCAACAAATAGTTAGAAAATTCTATGTTATGTTGACTATTACAGTCATTGATCTAGTTCAAAAGCAAGATGTTAAATACGGCATACCTATTGAGTGACCTCTAGAATTTCTTTTAGTTTTCTTCTAAAACAGGGTCAAGAAAAAAAAAAAGAAATTTCAATGATATTATATTGATGCATATAGAGCATTCTTTTAAAATACTTATGAGAAAACAACTGGAGACGATATCCATTGTTCGAGCAACATTTTCTCTGCAAAGACGCCTTGCGTCTCATCTTTAGGAATTTACCTGAAAATTCAATATGTCAACACAATTTGTTTATTTCGACTGAAGCTCGCAAAAGATTCTCAAAGGCACTAAATCTACTTAACAGACAGGTTCTATTAGAAATTCCTCTAGATAATTCTCTATTTTATGTCGAATTCCACAGTTGTAATATCTAGAATCTTCCTGTATGAAGCACTGTTTTTTTTAAGAAAATGAATAAGTCATTGTCAGAAAGATGTATTTGTAGATCTCAATTATGGAATATTAATGTGAATTTTATACTAAAATCAGTTTTAAAAGATGGTTCCCAGTAGTGGAACCAAAGATTTCGATCTAGGGAATCTCAGTTCTACTCCTTCTAACTTCATTACTAGATGGCTGTATATCCATCAATATTATATCATTAATAATATTTGTTTCGATGTATTCTTGTTATTGTCTAGAATGAGAATTAATCAATATGTGTGTTTCGTATTTCACAACATGTTCCATTTCATTTTGTAGCTGAAAAGTAAAACACACTTGCTACAATCAAGTTTTAGTATTATTTGAAAGACACGTGAATAGTTTGCAATATAACATTATTTCTAAATTTACGTTCTTCATTTTCATCAGATTGATTATCTGGAGTCTTTTTTGCATAAGATTATATTTGTTGTTTAAATATACTCTGTTGAAACATGGGTGATTGTAGTGCAATATCTTTTAATTGTTCATAATTATCTGATCGATCGAAAAGAATTTCTAATAAACTCATCATTGATNACAAAAATGCAGTATTTTTAATGAATATTTTGTCAAAATAATCGATTTCTTGCGAAATTCTCACTGTCCTATCGTAAATAGTACAGTTTTTTCAGTGAAAAGGTCTAAAAACAAATAATTGAGATTATGAATTAATTTTTAATTAAAAATTGACCCTCAACAGAAGGCCACCGAAAAAATAACGATGTACTGAAACACTATAAAAGGACATGCCCTTTTATTCTGGGGGGATCCGTTCTGAAACATGCATTAATTAATTTTCTTTCTAGATTGATGAAAATAATATTATATGAATATTAAAGAGTTAATACATTTTGTATAAATTCTGATTTAGTATTTCGCGTGCAGTTCGAATACATTAATGTTTAGACTATTTTAATTCTATGTTCGAGGGTGTGGGTGTGGGTGCGGGTGTAGTTGTGGATACAATACATTCACAGATGCACCCATACCCACACACCACACCCACACACTCACACCCACACCCACCCACACCCACACACGAACACCCACTCCCACACCCACACCCACACACCCCCACCCCCACCCACCCCCACACCCCACACCCACACCCCACCCCACACCCACAACCCACACCCAAGATAGGATTTTTAGAAACAATTATGCATTTTTCCGACAACAATGATATCTTTCTCGTAATTCGACCTGTCATTTTATACTCAACAGCAGACACACTGACGATAAATGATCGAGTTTATAGGTGCACAAATATACTGTATGGAGCAATCAATGAATCATCAATGGAAACTATTTACTATAAATGTCTAATTCAAAAACTGGCTTTTAGATATGCGATAAATTTAGATTTTCCTCCTTGTGCTAAATCAATGTTTTTCTTTCAATTTCCTAATCTGCGTTCTAGCACATAAAAATATCAGACTTTTCTGTTTTAAAAAGGTTTATGACACTGTTATTTAATACATGATGACGTATCATATTGATTCATTAAAACGCGTGGTTAACGAAAAATAAAAATACACAGTGTTTTTACGAGTTTCTGTTCACTGATTCTGATTTCTATATACAAGATCCGTTAAAACACATTAAATCATCACTTTTTCCTCAACTAATGCGTTAAAACCTGTTGGTAGAAGAAGTCACCCGTTTTAACGAGTTAAGCCTTTTTAATCATGATGTCAATGAGTTATAACGAGTTATTTTCTTCGTTTTTCCAGCTAAACGCATTAAAACACCGTTATGGCGTTTTCGTGTCTGCGTGGGTAGTCTATCGATCACCATCAATTCCCGATTATGCATCAGATCAATTCAAAATAAAATGGTACAATGGTAAAAATTACAAAGTAGTAGTATCAGATACTGTTAGTAGTGAGGCGTCAACACGTGGTACCATAATAAAGTAATACATCTGAATTACATTATGCTATCTCGAATGGGATTGAAAATTTATCGATTAGCAGAATGAATACGCGCGTAAGAAGATCGTAAACAATGAAGCAAGCAAAATAACAGACGAGTAAAACCATTACTCACGGCATTAATACTCATTTGAAACTTCGATCAAAAGAAATGTTTCATAACAGTTTATTGAAGTATAGATGTAAACAAAAGGAAACGAATAGTAGAACGAGAGCTGTTTTCACACTTTCTTTTTCATTTCGTATAGAAAAAGAATTTCTATGACTAAATAACGAAAAAAAATCACTAAAGAATAAATCACAGGTTAGATACTATCTGAACATAGCTTCATAATAGGTTATGATATATATCTGTAATACAAACAAAACAAATAGAATCGTTAAATATTTGTCAGCTTTTCTCTATGATCACTATTTAATAGCCAAGAATTTTTAGCTGCTGTTACACATTGTCGTACTTGATGAGTACTGAATTTTTCATTGAATACAACATGAGTTATTGTATTATAAAATTGATTTGATATTGTTGATAAATTCTTTGCTTGAATGTTTTCTTGGTAATCTATTTGTGTATTGTTTAAAAGTAAAAGCAATTTTTTAAGGCCATAATATCGTTGAGAAATATTGTTTGATTGAATTAAACGATTTATTAAATTGAATGTATCCGTCGGCATTTTAAGATGAGCAAAAAATATATCCATCAATAACTGATCACATTGAGCATCATTTGAAAAGATCTAATAAAAGAGAAAATTAATAATATTGTGTTTAAGAGGATTTCGAAAGTTTGAATTTTTACTTTTCCACGATTTTTATCAATCAATATTGCCCATTCATCAAGTGATACATCAGGAAATTTTTGAGAATTTCGAAATATGTATTTAAGAGCTTGAAAAAATTCCGAAAGTAAAATTTCCGATGAAAGTTGTTCATTAACAAGAAATGCACGTAATTGTTCTGTGGCATGTGCATTCATTGATGCATCATCACATTTCAAATGATAATACAATTTACAAGGGATCATAGAATTAAAATCTTGATAATTATCTTTCGGAATAACAGAAGCTAAAATAATAAAACAAACATAAACTATATACTTCAAATTAAATTTTCAAAATGATTTAGTGATGATAAACAAGCGCTTTCATGTGTGTCGTTTGATCTATTGACTATTTTTGCAGAATGAATTAATCTACGGTGCAAAAGTTTTAATACAAAAATGTAGTTTTTCAATATTTAGTTGCTAACAAGAATAAAAATTAGAATATCTCTATTTCTGTTCAATCAAATTGACGGAAATTTTCCTTTGTTATACTGATTGAAAAATACTTCTTTAAATTATTATTGACTTCACTAGAGAAATACAACTTTTTTGCATCAATTAAGAACAATACATAATGAACGACCTATGCACTTTCTTTTAGTCTTCTTGTAAGACAATACCAAGGAGAAAAAAAAAGTATTTTTATGAGGAAATGATACCCATTGTTTCACCTACACTTCGTTGAAAAAAATCGCATTTCGATATAATAGGTTCTTTTCGATTGAAGGTTTCACAATATTCTCAAAGGAACGAAATCTACCTAATGGAAAGTTTCTGTTCGGTTTGATTCTCTAGTGTAATATCGAGAATCCTCCTACATAAAAGTATTTTCTATAAGAAAATGAATAAGTCATTGCTAGCAAGAAGATTTCAATTATTGGACACTACTAATGTGAACTTGAAAAGTTTTTAACATCGTATTACTATTTGTAAACTTGCATTCTTTATTTTCATCAGATTGATCATCTGATGTCTTTTTCATATAAGATTCTAATTGTTGTTTAAATGCACTCTTTTGAAACATGGGTGATTGTAGAGCAATATCTTTTAATTGTTCATAATTATTCGATCGATTGAAAAGAATTTCTAATAAATTCATCATTGCTCTTATCCATTCGAAAATAGCATATTTTCCATATTGTGCTGTTAACATAATTGTTATTTGATTAATAGTTTGATCATTGTCTTGGTGTTTTTCAATTTGTTTTAAGAAAATTTTCGGTGATGAATGTATTCCGAACTGAAGTAATTCGATAAGAAATTGAAGAAGATGTTTAAGTTTTTCATTATCTAATTTTGAATGTTGAAAAATTAAATTTGATAATTCATATGTTTGTTCAATGGACAAAAATTCATTATCAAATGTATAAATTAAAAAAGATGTTAACTTTGTAAAATCAGTTTCTTGTTTTAATTTATTTTGAATAAAATGAATTAAATTAGAAAAATGACTTTCATTTAAATCGATTATTAGTATATTCATTAATGTATCAACAGTTACTATTGATGCTGAACGTGATGTAATAAGTTTATATTGTTGTTCAGTAAGAAGTAATGAAAAAAAATTTGTTTGTGTCTCTATCATAATTGTTAAGTGTTTCTGTAATAAAATAAAACGTGATGAATTTGAATAATCAGCATCGATTATAATAAGAATCATTGCTGTTAAAAGAGAACGATATATTTCAAATTCAATTGTTATCTCTTTGACATCGATTGATGATGAAATCTTGCCTAATAAATAAATAAGTTCTAAATGAGCCTTTGAAAATAAAATAAAATAAAATATTTTTCTGTAAATAAAATTTAAATTTACTTGAAAATCTTTTAAAAGAATATTATTTAATAATTGATTGAGCATAGTTCGATTAATTATGATAAGATTGCTTTTATTTAAACGAAACTTTTCATAGACTTTATTAATCGTACCATGACGTTTTTTTCCTAAAATGTTCTTTTCGAGAAAATTTTTTAATTCTTCACATTTTTCATTGGAAAATTTTTCTCGATTTTTAAATATATTTATCATTGTTTCAGTCAAAAAATCATATACATTATCATTTTTCATTAATGGTCTACTTTTAAGTAATAGTATATAATCATTTAAATCTGATTGTGTTGAAAGAGAATAAGTTTTCAACTCATTTAATGATATTGAACGAGTATAAAACGATAATAAACGTTTTTTCTCAGCATTTGGTATTGGACGAACAATTGTTGATTCATAAAGAAATTTATCAAGTAATTCTTTGAATTGTTCAGTTGAAAATGTCGTTACATCCGAAGAAATCATTTCAACAAGAGAAATCAAACGAAGTCGAACACTATCATCAATTATTGGAATTAAATCATCTGATTGTTTCAACTAAAAGAATAAAATACAAGAAAATTGTTTCGAGTTTCTCAGATACTGTTCAAATAATCCCGACACTTTCATAATTAACTAATCTCATAGAGACTTGTTTCTATGCAACGTTCTGAATTGAAATTGGAAAATCAGTATTGCTCGTATTTCACTCATAATCTATTTGATTCCGGCGGTACAAATAAATAATGCTCAACAGGTAGAAGAACTAATTAGTTATTTTATTGATATTATATGTCAGAAATTCATATAAGTAGTTCCAATAGGCTTTCGAAAGTCTTTATTTGTTCTAAAGAAGTATATTGAGCATCGACTATCATTATGCATGTTGTAGAACTAAGCAAGATGCACCAAGTTCTATGGTACGAAGTTAAAAAATATAACTCCTCCAGATTCTAAATGGAACTGTCAAATTTAGCATGCGTACTAGATCTCACCTTGAACTTCGATTAACGAATATTTCAATAATCGATTCGGTTATATACTGCGAACAACAAGATATTGTGTTTGACTTATATCATGACTTAAGAAAATGAACAAATCTTGCAGATTTTTTTAAAGATGTGCAGTGAAAAGCTCTATAAAACACTGTATCAAAAATTCCTATCGATTCTGTCTAATAATTTTCACATACTCTAAATAAACAACCCGTATGGCAGTGTTACGCTCTGCTGTATTGAGCATGACAAAAAGTGTTTCGATAAATTTTTTGTATTGCTNTTTTGTCGAGAACGTATATTAATACCTTTAAATATAATTACAGAACATATTAAAACTCAATCAAAAATTCAACAATTAATATTAGATGATTTTCAAGAATATATTATTCGTTCAACATCACCAATATCAACAGTTCTATTTGATTTAAATAATATTGAAAATAAAATTTTTGTATTGAATTAAATAATGTCGATTGAATACCAGATTTTAATACACATTCATATTGATTTTTATTTAAACGACCACTACTCGTCATCATTAAAATAATAAAATACCATGTAGGATTTTGAATACCAATTTTTTCGAATTTTTTTTGTTTATTAAGATCTGTATTTAAAACTTGGTCTAATTCTAAAACCCATTGATGAGGATCATTTGGTATTTTATTATTATTTTTAAATAAAATTAAACGTTCCTCCCATAATTGGATTTGATTATTATATCCAAAACGTTTCATACGAATATTACAATATTCATGAAGTTCATCAAGTTGTTCATTTGAAAAAATGTCTTTTTTCATATCAAATAAAATTGTGTTTGAAAAATATTCCAAATATATTATATCTATATCTAATTTTGATTTCAGTAAATTTTGAATTAAATCAAATAGAACTGTTGATATTGGTGATGTTGAACGAATAATATGTTCTAGAAAATCATTCAATATTGATTGTTGAAGTTTTGATGTAGTTCGAATATGTTCTGTTATTATATTTAAAGGTATTAATGTACGTTGTCGACAAAATATGATACGATCTTTATTTAATAATTGATATTTATGTGATAAGAGAATATTTTTGAAATCATACAATGCTAAATATTGATCATTACTAAATAGAAAATCATTTTGTGCAACATGACAAACAAGCGAATAAAATATTGATTCTTTTTCATAGAACTTTATTGAAATATTTTCTCCATGTAATTTTTGAAGTTTTCTTATACGTGAAAGAAGTAATTTAAATGTTTTATTTCGTTGTTGAACTGTCAGATAACTATTGATTAATTTTGTTGATTGATTACAAATTCGTAGAATTTGACCTTGATCTCTTTTTGAAAGAATTATTTCGATAGAAGATATTGATGCAGAAGATTTCGATCGAGTTTGTTTCGTTTTACGAATTAAATCAGTAAGATGCACATTGTTTGACGGATTGTTTTTCATAGAGCAATCATATTGAATATGATCATATTCACCAGATATGTGAAAATCATCTCAAATATAAAGATTGTTCATTTTAAAGAATATGGAAATTCTTCTTTTATGACTTACGAAGCCGAGAATCAACATCACGTTTTTCATTTATGTTGCTATCGGATCGTTTGTTTCGATGACTTGTACTACCATTACCTGATGATTGGCGATTATATTTTCCATCACCTGAAGCTACATGTACAGTATGTAATTCAGAATTTAGATGATCTAGTGAGTCATATATATTATTCTAGATAATTCGAAAATTTTAGCTCAAGAAACTTTTATTTACAAGAATTAATAGTAAAATCAATAAATTAGAAATTTACGACACAAAAAAAACAATTATTCTAATAATCCAATGAGAAGTTCGAAATATCTCAGATTGTTCGCAAGAATTTCTGAAAATTTCAAGTGTTTGTCTTGTATCCAGCTATACATTCTACATGGATGAAGTATGATCAATATTCCTCAGAAAACTTAAAGTTTATAGAATAAATAAACGTAAAATACGATTTGATGGCTAGTCTCTTTTCATCTTTTATCGAATACAAAGCGTTGTATTTCCTTTTCAATGATTTAGCAATATCCGAAGATTTTCTAATTGAAACTAATCAGAAAAAAACACAAGGTAACGATGGAACCCCTTCGACGCATATCATTCGTTTGAGCTCATAGGAAGGAATCGGAAGTGATTAAAATTATAGCAACTCCGAAAATCTTTCTTTTATGTAATTGTACTTATTTTGTCTTATCAAATTCAGAATATCTTATTACTTATTCGCTCAAAATATTCATATCATATTTTTCGTAGTCGCAGTGAAAACAGTAAGACTTCGCAGGTCTCTAATCATAGTGTAAATAAAAATTTTGAAGATGTTCGTACCATTAGGCCTTTATTCTTGTACTATAGCTCGAGATCACAAAACTTACGGACGTGAAGACTTTCAGATTTTTATCTGCATCAAGTGTTCTACGATTGGGCTCAAATGGGGATTACCAATCGGGTGGCTTGCCTTGTGAGAATGATAATATAAAATGTTAACACTACGCATTGGGAATTTTTTAACTATGTTCGAAAAAGTATCTTGAGTACATCATTGATTTGTATTTTCGTTGCTCACTTCATTATTAATTCTAAGTATCATTCACGTGTTACTATCTAAAACTATAATACTGTTTTGCTTTAATTCAATTTAGACACAATTCACTTATCTGGTATTTCAAACAGTCAAATGAGGAAAAAACTCAGTACTTGCCATTTTTTTTATCACACAAAGGTACAGTAGAAACATTACGTTCTATATGATTCAATGCATTCAAAATATAAAAATTCATTGTATCTCATACTTGTTAATGGTCGTGTTTTATCATTTGGTGACACTGAACTCAAATCATGATGAGATGAATCATCATTACAAGTGTGTTTTTGTTGATGTTGATTAATTGCATTTTGCTCTGATTTGTTATTATTGTTTTCAATACTTGTTATTGCTTCATCGTCTTCACTTTCAGTTGCATATTCATATAAATGATCGTCATCATAACTATCCGGTTTTTCAAATGTACGTTCTTCCATATTTTGTAACCAACTATCAATGAGTTGATTTTGTGATATTGATAAAAGACATGCATTCGATGTTAAGTCAAGTAAAAAACGTAATTGATCATCATGAAAATATTGATTAAATGATGTCAGAATTATTTGAGATACACATTGGAAAAGTAATTCATGCTGTTCAAACAATTGTTTACGTATGTCACGTGTTTGAAGAATCTGAATTAAAGTATTATAAGCAGAAATAACATCTTTTTTATCATATGATGATGATGATAATGATAATTCATTATTGAGTAATTTTTGAAGACGAACTTCAACTTTGTCGTCTGCCATAGTCTTGATTTCAATATAATTCTTATTACTTATAAATGTGCCCACAATATGTATGAAAATTGAATGAAAACGAAATGAAAATAAAACTTCGTAAGGGCTTGTTCACACTACTGGTATGTGCGCTGAGCTCGATGACTCATCGAATCAATAGCAAATCTTCACGGATTGGTACTTGCATTTTTGACATGGGCCCGATATAGGTTTGATCACATATTGGAGAGAACATTTTTCTGTACCGANAAGATATTAAAGATTCATCTCTAACAGAAAATTTAGCTGACACTTACCAAAGTGTGACATCTAAGATCCGCGGAATTGGTACGGCTGCCACTCGTGATCCTGTTATACATCAAAATATTTCTACTACGTTCAAAGAAATTAATATTGTGTTGTGTGGTTCACCTCGAGTTGGAAAGAGTACTCTGATCAACGCCATATGTCAACAGACACTAGCTAAAACAAGTCCGGGACTTGATGCCTGCACACATGGAATCACGCGTTACCACCTTAAAGGTAACATCGAAACGGACTCTGGGACAATTAATTATGAATATAACTTTTGGGACACGCCGGGACTAGAAAGCTGGACTCAAGAGGATATTCGCAGACACTTAGAAAATATTTTAAAGAAGCCTAAATCCGATATACTATGCATGATCTACTGTGCGTCACCAGGTTCTTTCGCAAATCTTGAAAAACTTAATTGGCTACTAAAAGAGTGTATGAATAAACAAATATTTTGTGCTCTTGTGTGTACAAACAAATATTGTGGGCAAGCAGCACAACGAAATGGTGTCATGCAAGATTTTCAACGATTACTGGAGCATTATCACGCCAAAACTCGAGAAGAAAATGGTGTTATCTACTTTGGAAATATGGGACTGTGCACAGCGGTAAATAGCCAGAAATTTGTGGATCAAGATACAGGCAGAATGTTCGAGGAATCCGGTGTTGATGAACTTATTTTGGGTATTATGGAATCACTCGACGATGAAAAAGTTGCTCAGTGGTGCGCGGTAGCATTTGAGAACAAATCATTTTGGAAAAATGTATTTAAATTTCCAGCACAATTGAAAGCGTTCTGGAACAGAATGACTGGCAGGACATGAACAATGAAGAGTAAGAAAATTAGACACAACCTTGCCAAAAGTGTAAAAAAAAATAAACATTTAGAAAATAGGAAAAACTTTATCTTACATTCTATTAACGTGTTTTGCTTATATTGATTGTATTTCTACAAAGCAAACCTGAGTAGCTCAATTCAACTAAAAAAATGTGGGATTGCTATTTGCTCTTTTCTTAAGAGTCTTCTTTATGAACATCTATTAGCCAGTTCATGTGTAAAATAACAAGAAGAAAGTCTGTGCAGAACTTCGTAATTATAAGGAATCATCTTTTAGAAACAAAACAAGATTAAACACTATATCCTTTTCATTGTGTCGTTGGTGTCTACTGTTCACGTATCTCGCAGCTTCAGGTCTATAACTCGGATGCAAATGTCTGACGTTTATTTGATCATTGATTTCCCATACTGAACAAGGGAACAGAAAAGGGTATGAATAGTGTGAATTAGAGTTTTGGGGTGGCTGTAGCTTCAAGTCTATGAGAGTCGGGATAGGAGTATCCATGTGAGTCAAAATCAGACTCATATCTGCCTATCCTGCGGAAAAAAAAATTTTGTCTTAAGCTAGGCTTGGTGTATAAAACAGTTATTCTAGCTCTGACGGATGTATGACTTAATTCTGAAGTTAAATGTGTAATTACCAAGTTGAAAATTTAAACCGAATAGGTTGTATCGAATTAAAAAAGAGCAATCTCATCATTCTGTAAGATGAGGGTTCTTCTCATCTTTTCCCACTTTTTATTTCAAGATTTTTCTCGTAAATATGTCTTCTAAAATTCTGAAATATATATCAGAATATATTGAATTTTATCGCATGTTTTGAAATTTTAGCAAAATGTCGTTAAAAATATTTCGATGATTATTCCTTTTTTTTTTGACCGTTGCACTTGGATGATTGAGTACGTATTAATATTTTAAACTTGGCTGCAACAAGAAAAACTTCGATGAGAAACAAACTTTGAGTGGTCGAAAAATAGAAAATGATTTTTTCTATTATTAATCTCTATCACAAATTAATCAAAGTAAAAAATATTTTTACTATTAATGCGTCATTGCAAAGAGTTACGGGTACAAATTCTTGTGGACTCGGATTCAGATTTCGAAGGACTTGCAGCTTCCTACTTCATTTCAGCAATGAAAAATTGTATTTGTTTTAAATTTATCTGATTCATATTGATTATCTGCTTTTATAATTACATTATCAAAAATAAACAATAAATCAAATCCATAAAATAATGAATTGAGTAGAAATTTTCTAATATGTATTACATATATATATATATAGATATCATAAGAAAACAATTGTATGTAACAATATAATTAAGCTATCGAACAGTATCACTGTCTGTCATCAGTATATTACAAATATTGTCATAATTATGCCTATGTATGCTCAAAACAATATTATTATTAACATTATGATTAAATATTCACTTAAATCTTAACCGAATTTTTTTCATAAAATACATCGGTTGCATCTATGCTATTATAGAAGAATATTGTTTTTAAGATCATGATCTTTTCGCCGACTATTGATTTAAAAGAACATAAAGTTCCAATAAAAATAAATTTAATACATCCATTTGAATTAATTATTTCACCTGATCAAAAGGTAATTTGATCAAAGATGATTTTACAATATGTTATTGCGTTTATTCTATCAATTTATTGATTTAAAAAAATTGTAATAAAATAAAAATTTACAAATGTCAATTTATTTTGAAACTTATCCTTGGAATACAAGTTTTCATTATTGTTTTGGTCAATAAAAATGAGTGCATCAGAATAAATGAGTCTCTCAATATCTCTGTCAATTTTAAAAGTTACAGACTAAGTTTTATCTTAAGAAGACTCACCGTTCAGTTCCCTAAAATATTACGAATTTGTACTTTTAATTACTTTCAAGCACAAAATTCAGTTTTCTTTTGTCAATGTGTTCTCAATTTGAGGTACGAAAAAGTGAAACGAGTTGTTTTGAAGAGCTTAAAAAAATCTATTTTATAGGTAGGGCCAACTGATTTTTATAACAAACGTCAATTGCATAAAAAAAAGAACATTTTCAGTACTGTTATATTGTAAATTCTCGAAAAACTTATGTAACTGAGCCATGCATTCTTTTTCTCAGAGAAAAATTTGTTTTTATTTAACAGCTACTGAATCATTCCATAGAAATCTACTTAGCTCTGAAGAAATGCTTTTTCCTCTAGATTTGAGTTCAAGCAAAAAGGATTTAATATGACAGATTTGAACCTATTGTCCAAACGCAAGATTCTCTGTTCATATTCTAGGTTAATACTTTCTGTCCTATGAATCATTTAATAGGGCACATTTGATTATGCCTACCATGGTACTTTGAAGCGCTTAAACAATGTTTCATTAGTGAGAAGAAAGTGCAAATTTGTTTATATATATGTGCTTGAAAGTTGTTAGTAACACATCTTCGTAATGCTTGTGTAATAACTGTTCACTTTAACACCTATGGAATACAATTGTTTATGGTTCTGTAGAGAATAGACCTTCTATGTCACAATATTACATTTCACTTAAACGAAAACGCTATAGGTTTATATCTGCCTAAATTATTTCTTGTTTTAATCGAAGAAAAAAATCAATGCATTTGCTAAATGCATTTGGTTATACTCAATCTTCTATTGTTCTTCCAGGGATTGAGCAAACTGTTGCAATACTTAACATAAATACGATGTTCATTAATCACTTTTATTATACATACTAGAAAATGATCTACTACCTATAAATGTAAAACGGAAAATCTTGTCAATTGATGAAACAAAAAAACGATTTAAAAATTTAATTCATTCATTCAATACTCAACATTCGCTTTGTTATTCAGTTTAGTTCACATCAGAAAAGTCAACTAGTTCTAGTAATTCGTGCCATTTTAGATGCAGCAATTGATTCGATCTGTGTAATGAACAATATTGCATTGATTTCAATATTTTTTGGATCGTTAATTCGCCATTCAAGAGCATTCACATCATCACCTGGATGTTTCGTATAGCCTCCTACAGTACCAGGATAAGTACTATAGCTTTTATCTTTGACACTACATTCTAATACAGGTATCAGTTGTTGATCGCCATGAGAGAATGGTATTGCATATGTTGGATCCGAGCTATAATATACACTCGGACTTAGAAAAATAGCAGCAGCAAAATCAGAAACACCAAAATATGTCTTTTCGCGTGCAAAATGATTTTTTGGCGGATTAATACGTTTTCCGCTGGATGTTATCGTACCTGGTATGACCAGTCCATCGTGAACAATAGATCGAATGACATTAATAGTCGTTCCATGGTAAGCTATGTGTGGAAACATGCTAGAATTATGTTTTCGAAGAACCAAACATGTACAGGGTATAGGATTATCTCGTGATTTCAATGGTTGTTCAAGAGCAGATGCGATAAACATATCTGCTGGTAAGGTAAGCTGACTTGGAATGATACCAACATGACGAACAAATGCATGAAAACCAGTTATTATAGGTAGACGAGTTCGACGAGTATGAGAACTAAACCAATAAGATGAAGATGTCGCCAACGTGTATAAACGAGCTTCTCGCTCATTAACTATTGATACCTCAGGTAGTTCAAGAAATGTAGCAACTGATTGATTAAGTGTAATTTTAAAGAGACAAATACATTCCGGTATGTTAAACGTTTCGGGATCAGGTGTAAAAATTGTATCTACTTTGAATTCGATATCATTGTTTACAGAACCCTCCGAAAAGCTGAACATTAAATTATCAATTTGAATGTTTTCTTTCACTGTTAGAGGAGCTTTCAATGAAAATGAATTTGTTTTACATTGAGAGTCGAACTTTTTAGTGAAATTTCGAAGATCTATTTTAGACTCATCA